TTTTTTATTCTGGGATTTATTTACCTTCTATAGCTGTCACTGGAGCTGAGAGCCGGTTCCAGCTCTGAGGCCCAGCTCCAGCTCTGAGGCGTGGCTGGCTGAAAGCAGGTATCTGGGTTTGTTTAGCTTCTATAATTGAAACATTGTTGCCATCACTGCCGCTCTAAGCTCTGAGGCCGAAGCTGGCTGAACGCAGGTATCTGCAGCTTGTTTAGCTTCTATAATTGCAACTTTGTTGCTTAGAGTGTAGCTTAGAGCAGGCCGAGGCAGGCGGGGAACCTTGGCTTCCTCCATCACTGGAGCAAGAAAGCCGCCTGTTCGCTTCAGCTGCGTGGCTGCCGGCCACCATCTTTGTTGGCAGTTAATTTGCATATCCTGCTGATTAGCCAATGGGAAGTGTAGTGGAGGTATGGTTAATTACCATGTTTGTCTATTATTAGATAGGATATATATCAAACATGGCCTACTTGGGGGGTGGTGGTGTGGGAATATAAAGTACAATGGATTGTGTTGCCCCTCCCCCAACAACTGAATATTTGAAACCTAATTCAAGAACTTTTTTCCTGGAACTTTGGAGTCACCTGTAACTAGATAACAAGTCCACATTCTTACAGATGTTTCAAAGCTTGTTCCAGCCCATAATGGCCAAACTTAGAATCAGTGAGTTTTGGAAGGTGTAGGCTTAGAATCTCAGGTGGCTGAACTTCATAAAAGATTCCATTCTTGTCACTTTCTTGCAAACTCCAGGCACCTTCCATTCAGGAGTCTAGCCATGTGGCTCATCACCTTGGTGAATCCAAAGCTGCCTTCCTTGAGTCAAGACCAAGCTTCATGGCGGTTTTTCGGTACACCTATCACCAAGACGTCAGAAGTTTCTGTACTCACTTTGCTGTAGCAGGATCTTTTCCCGCTCTGACTTCTCATCCTTCTCCCATTCTGCCTTCTTCTTTGACAACTTATCTTCCATTTCATCATAAAGGCTATCCTGTGGAGACATAATGGCAACAGAAGCAAAGGGCCCTGAGAAAGGTGCACACTGGCCTAAGGCCCAGCACTGGGCCCTGTCAGCTTCCCTCACCTGAGACCCTTGCTGGGGTGGGGGGCCCTATGTGGGTGACTGGGGAAAGTAAATTCCAGCCCAGCCCCCTTGAGCATGACAGAAGCTTAAAAGCCTGGCTCTGCATGGTGTCTGCAGAGTTTAAAGACAGGTAGTGTTCCCCATGTTAAAGAATCACTTGTCAACTCCCTCTGACTCATGACTCAAAAAGAGCACACACAAAAAAACAAAAGAAATGCCCACTAGTTAACATGACCACTTAGAAAACAAGATGTTTTTCAAAGTGTTCGTTTCCCTCAGTAAATCTAACTTCCTTTGTGGTTAACGTTAAATAAGCCTAACCACTTAATGACGGTGGGACCTCAGAAGGGGGGGCCCAGGACCCGGAAGCTGCCACTCAGAATCCTGACTGCCCTCCTTGTGCGGTCAGCAACAGAATTTACACTGGGCTTGGGCATCAGAGCTCGTTTGTAATTGTGGCCATTTAAATAGAGGCTCTCTCATTTTCAAGGCCGGTGGGCAGCTGTTTCCAGAGAGGTCACACGCTCTGGAGAGGCCCAGATTGAAGCAAACACCAAGTATACATAGGAACTGGGGCAGCTTACCTGCTCATCAACCTGACGCTTCTCTTAGGCTCTGGTCTATGACGCTTCCCTGACTGTATGAAGGTACATCTTGAAAAATGAGCTTTGGATTCTAGTTCAAAAGTGAAACTCTGAGTGGTAAACTGAATTTCAGAGGTGGTGCTGGTGCTTTACTTGATTTCCCCCTTTGATAGGACGATCAACTATCCTTGTTTGCCTGGGACTGAGTTGTTTCCTGGGACTCCAGACTTTTGATGCTAAAATCCAAAAGTCCCAGGCAAACCGGGATTAGTTGGTCACCATAGGATGGGGGCTTGCTGCCTCAGCCCTTCCCTGTCCATTCCCTACCTCCCACTCTCTCATCCCCTAGGAAGAAATCCTGCCCTAACTCTGTCCCTTGGCCTCCATCAAATTAGTTGATTAAACGAATGGGTTATGCCCCGAGATGCTAGAGCACTTCCATGTTCTGCTAGACTTCTGTGCATGGGCCACGAAGTTTCAATCGCACTGCACGTGCACGCCCGCACGTGGTATTTTGTGGAAGAGCCACACTCAAGGGGCCAAAGAGCCGCATGTGGCTCGCGAGCTGCAGTTTGCCGACCACTGCCCTAGACAATCACATAAACTGTGACCTAGAATACCTTCCCTCCCAGGTTAGCTTTCTTCACATTGAACAATCACAGCATACTTTCACTGATACAGTCCCACTTTATAAACAGAATTTCCGGAGGATGAGGCCCAGAAATCAGGATTTTAAAAAGATTCCCAGGTGATTCTAATGTGCAGTCAAGGTTGAGAACCACTGTGCTAGAGGGAGTAGTGCAGAGTGATACAGTCTTTTTGGGTGGAAATTTGGCCAAATGTATCAAAGACCTTTACAATGGTTACTCCTTTTGACCCAGAACTCTATTAAAATCTAAGATATCACAAAGTACAAATATGAACAGTCATTGTCTTGGGGCAGTGACAGTTTTTCTTTTTGTTGCTGCTATTGGTTTATGTATTTCCTTTAAAAACCCCCACTAAAAATAAAATAAAATAACACTGAGCAGGTATTACTTTTGTAATCACAAACATATTTTTTGATGGGCTTCTTTAGGCCTGGGTGACTGACTTGTCATGCACGGAGCCATCATAGTCCGAGGTGCACTCTCCTCCCTGGGCGCAGTTAGTGTGTGCCACTTAGGTGCAAGGATGCTGGGGAGCTGCTGGAATTATTTTCTGGGGAAGAGCTCTAGATTCGTCCCATCATCAAGCAAGAAAATGAGTCTTGCTTCTCTTACTCTCATAATCCAATGAGGAGTTCTGGATCTCACCTGATACATAAAAAACATATTCTTCAAATACTTGTATTCCTTTCCCATCTCCTCTGGACAAAAGGAAAACAACAGGATCATCATTATTACTCTGAAATGCACACTTTCAAATTCAAATGTGAGCTCTTGCACACCTTCCCCATGTCAAACTCATCCCCTGGGTGGTAAAACCATGGTGTGCCTCAGAAACCACTCTGGAGGCTTATTAGAAACTACTCTTATTAGATGCCTGAACCCCACCACAACCCTACTGAATCGAGCTCTCAGAGGAGAGCCCCAGTATCTATTGATAATATGCTTCTCAGGCGATTCTGACCGACACCAAGTCTGAGAACTAAGCCCCAGGATAAACCTGAGTCTTTGGAAGAAGAGAAGCAAAATCTGCCTGCACCCGCCTCTCTCTTTTTAAAATCACACTTCCTAGTGTACGCTGATTTTGAAAACAATACATGTTCTCTTTTAAAAAAAATCTGGGAAATCAGCAAAGTATAAATACCACCTTAAAAAAATGAAAGGCAATGGAAGGGGAGAAGGTTATAGAACTTCTCTCTGTGGAGATTAGTCTATGAACTCAGAATTCTGAAGAAGACACACTTCCTCTTCTCAGGAACAGCATAAACAATGGGATAAATGGCCAACACAACCCATATGGATTATGAGGCCACACAAATCATAGTGTGTCAGTTAGAATTTAATGAAACACCATCGTTTTGCTGGTGAGCAAACTTGCTGAATTATATTTGCAGAACTTTAAATATACTTTAAAAAGTGCTTTCTCATTTTTATCATGCTGATAAAGGCCAATATTACTATCCTCAATTCCCAGATGGGGAAACTAAGACTTGATACAAAGGGTAAGAAGGACGTTGGTAGGCATGGCTCCCCTCTTTTCAGTTTCATTCTCAATCATTCCCTCTTCCTGAGCTTAAGAGGAAACCTTGAAAGTCTAGCTAAAGCCCACTCATGGCCATGAGAGTTCCTCAGCCCTAGACCCACATGGTCAGCCTTCCGCCCCTTCATCATGGTCATTCTTCCAGGTCTTGAACGTACCTAGTTTTTCTTGGGAAGCCAACTTCTCTTCCTTTAAGGCTGCTTTGTAGTTGTTCTCCATCTCACTGAGCTCTGCAGCGTGAGCCTCTTTGAGCTCCCTGTGGTGTCCCGAGAGAAAGTCACAATCATCAGTGAAAAGAAGTCCAGAGTTGAGCTGTTATATTCACCTGATCCCACCTCTCCTCCCTCACACAGAAAGCCAGCGGGCAGGCTGGGGAACCCTCACTTTTTTGAGTCACTTTTTTGGCATTCATGCAGAGAAGGGGAAAAGGACCCTTGTTTACATCAATCTCGATGGTGAATGGAGCTGGTGGGTGCTATAGATAACGTTAGAGTGCAAGGTCTCTCTAGTCTCCATTCCAGTGTTCAAGATGAGTGTTACAATGAAAGGCTATATGAGCTGTCAAGCCAAGAAAAGACATGGAGGAAACTTAAATGCCTATTAGTAAGTGAATGAAGCCAATTTGAAAAGGCTGCAACTGTCTGATTTCAACTATTTGGCATTCTGGAAAAGGCAAAATAACAGAGACAGCCAAAAGGTCAGTGCAATAGTTGTCAGGGGTTAGCAGAGAGAGAGGGATAAATATGTAGATCACAGAGGATGTTTAGGGCAGTGAAACTATTCTGAATGGTACTATAATGGTGGATACATCTATACTAATAATAGTGGAATATGCAATTGTCCGGGATCCCATCACAGTAACAGTAACGACCAGCAGGCTGCGTGGGGTGACCAGGCTGGTGGGGGGGGGCAGTTGGGGGTGAGCAGGCCAGCATGCAGAGTGGTTAGAGGCAATCAGGCAGGCAGGCAGGCAGGGGAGCAGGTATGACCAGGCTGGCAGGGAGGGGGCAGTTGGGGGCGAACAGGCCGGCAGTGGGAGGCAGTTAGGGGCAACCAGGCCGGCGGGGAGGGGGAAGTTAGGGGCGACCAGGCCGGCAGGTGGGGCAGTTAGGGGCGATCAGGCTGGCAGACAGAGGCAGTTAGAGGTGATCAGGCTGGCAGGGGGGCAGTTAGGGCGATCAGGCAGGCAAGCAAGCAGTTAGGAGCCAGCAGTTCTGGATTGTGAGAGGGATGTCCGACAGCCGGTTTAGGCCCAATTCTCACCTAAACCGGCTGTCGGACATCCCCTGAGGGGTCCCGGATTGGAGAGGGTGCAGGCTGGGCTGAGGGGATACCCCTGCCCCCGTGCAGGAATTTTGTGCACTGGGCCTAAAGTATAATAATAAAAGTGTAATATGCAAATCAACCGAATGGCTGAACGACCGGCAGCACAACTGGTCACTATGATGTGCACTGACCACCAGGGGACAGACACTCAACCCAGGAGCTGCCCCCAGTCCGCAGACCCCAGGCCCCAGGCCAGCCAAGGCGGGTGCCAGAGGAGGCCCCCCAATCGCCCCGCAGAGGGAGGCAACTGGCGGGGGCGGGGCTGGTGAGCAGGCAGCGCCAGGCCGGCCAAGGCAGGTGTCTGAGCCCCCCACCCCCCTCCCCGCCCGATCGCCCCACCAGTTGCCCCACAGATTGGCCCTGATCGCCCACCAGGCCTAGGGACATTACCCGTGCATGAATTTTGTGCACAGGGCCTCTAGTGTCATTATATTTCGTCAAAATCCATAGAATGTGGGTTTGTTTTTTTGTTTTTGTTAAGCCTCACCTGAGGATATTTTTTCCATTGATTTTTAGGGAGAGGTAAAGAAAGAAGGGAAAACAAAGAGAAACATCAACGTGAGAGAAACACATCAACTGATTGCCTACTGCAGGGGTCCTCAAACTACGGCCCATGGGCCACATGCATATACAAATATTGTATTTGTTCCTGTTTTGTTTTTTTACTTCAAAATAAGATATGTGCAGTGTGCATAGGAATTTGTTCATAGTTTTTTTTTAAACTATAGTCCGGCCCTCCAACGGTCTGAGGGACAGTGAACTGGCCCTCTGTTTAAAAAGTTTGAGGACCCCTGGCCTACTGCATGAGCCCTGACCAGGGAGGAGCCTGCAACCAAGGTACATGGCCATGACCGGAATCAAACCCGGGACCCTTTGGTTCGCAGGCTGATGCTCTATCCACTAGGGCCATAGAATGTGTGTTGACAACACCAAGAGTGAACTCTAATGTATGCTATGGACTTTGGGTGGAAATGCTGTGCCAGTGCAGGTTCATTGAGTGTAACATATGCACACTGGTAGTGCAGGGTGTCAATAATGGCATAGGTCATGTAGATGTGAGGTGAGGGAATATATGGGAACTGTCTGTACTTTACACTCTATTTAACTATGAACCTAAAACTACTCTAAAATGAAACTCTATTAAAAATAAATAAGTTAGGAAATAAAAAAATAAATAAATAAGTTAATTAATTTTAAAAATTGTTTTTTAAGGAAACAAGTCTCCATTAGGAAGACTTCTCTCCACCAGGGCTTCTGAGCCCAGCAGGTAGCGTGGAGGGGATTTTGTGGGTTTCCTCACCCACACAGACAACACACCTCATTTACTTCCTGTTGATTTGTCCTTGGGGCTCTGGCTCCTGCCCCTCCCATACCTTCTTGCCATTTTGCCCAGGCCCTGACCTAGCAGCCAGGGAGAGCAGCAGTAAGAGGAGAAGAGGAGGAAGGGGAGGAGATGGAGGAGAACCACAGCTGTGTACCACAGAAATCTCATATGCAATTTTTAAAAGATGGCTCTTCGCAGCAACCAACAATAAGGGAGATTATAATGGGAATGAAACAATTGCATGAGAGAGTGCAAAACCAGGGGTAACCTTTTCTGTGCCTCAAATCAAACCATCTTGCTCTCCAAAGACATGTATCTCATCTCCCCCACCCCTTGCTACCCAATTCCATTTGACGCTGTCTGAAATCCAGTGAACTGAAGTCCTGCGAGGATGCAGGAGCCTTAGGGCCTTCAGCACACAAGGGCTTGTGCCAGAAAACATACCTGCTCTTGTTTTCAAAGTCCTGCTTCATCTCAGCACAGCGGATTTCCATTTCATTGGAGAGCTGCAAATGAGGCCATCATCAGCAACACAGGATTGAAGACCTCACTCCCACTCCAGTCTTCAACTTGTGAGAAGCCTTCTGACTCACGGGGTACACCCCGCTCCCCGTGTCTCTCTGTGATTATGAGGGAACAGAAAAATTCTTGCCTTGCTCTGTGTGGTCTGGCATGTGATCAGTTTGTAGGGTTGGTGCACAGAAACCATGTCTGTCACTACCAGGTTTTGTGAGCAGGCTCGGTCCTCTCTGCTGGACTGTAATCTCTTTGTAAGAGAGTGGCCTGAGACCCTCAGATACAGAATTCAATTGAACAATCATTTCTTAAACAAAGGGCTTGGCCTGGAAGAGCCAAAGAGGTCTATGATTCAGACCCTGCCTTCGAAGAACTGTAAATCCAGTGTCCAAGCCTCCAGTGTTGGCAAAATGGCTGGGTTCCAGCAGGCAAGTTTTGCCTACTTCCAGGTGACCTTCCATGCTAGCACATCCAGTCCTCTGGCCACTGTCTCAGGAGGAGTGGACACTTCCAAATTAGTTAGCACCCACTGCCTGCTGAGACAAGGGTCTGGGGCTTGTCCTTCCCTCTCTGACTGAACCGTGGCACCAGCACTCCTCCCTTGCACAGGGTCACACAACAATTTGGGGTGTTTACAGGTGGAAGAATTTTTATTTTTAGGTGAATGTTAAGGATCACATCTGAGGTCCCTCCATGGAAGTAATCTCTAAATATGTCTTCAGTGAGTGAAAATGCGAATTTTGCCTAAATAAAGGTAAATGCTCTTAGGCTAATTATTTAACTTCCTGAGACTCAATTTTCTTTGGGTATTAAAAAACCACAAACCTGGCAGGGCTTTCAGATAAACATAGTAATGACTCATTAGTAAGGGAAGGTTCAGTCTGAGTCATAAGCTGGGTCCCTGTAGGATTCAGAAGCATCTGGGGTGCATGAGAGGGTGAAGGCTGGGCCTGCTGGGAATTCAACCCTTACAAGTGCCTTTCAATAACAACAGGCAAGGTGGGGGTGGGTCTGATTATGGCTCTGGTTTATCACTCCAGTGCAGGCCACCAGGCACACCTGCTCGAAGTGGGGAAGAAGACATTATGATAAAATAGATGGTAAAATCTAAAGGAGGTTTCACCAAAATCCCCAGGAAACCCAAAGAGTGTCATTTACATCAGCGAAATTTGGGCTTTGGTAGTTTCAGTAGCAACAGGAAGTGGGTACTAAAGGCTTCTGGGTAGTTTTTGAGCAACACTGGAAGCATGACCGCCGTGGTGCCTAAGCAAGAGTCTCTACAACCTCTGAAGCGTAACTCACCGCCAGGCGGGAAATGGCCAGCGCCCCCTCGTGTGGAGAGGACAGTGGTGTTGAACACCCTGCAGGCACTGGGGGAACTTACAGAAACTCAGCTAGGCCTGGAGGAAGGACTTGAGTTCTTGCAATTATGGAGGAGGATGGAGACAGAGAAATACTATTGGGTGGCCCCAGTCCTATCCTCAGAGCTCTCGCCTGGGCAACGTGGCTCCTATGAGTCAAGTACTCGGCAGCATGCCTGGCAGAAAGCGTGATCTGAAAATCTTGGTCTTCCCTGTACCCACAGAGATGTCAGCTAGCTTAGGGATCACTCACCGTTGTTTTGGCAGACTGGTGGTCTGTGTTCATTTGCTCTATTATCGTCGTCAGCTCTGAGATCTGCTCTTCTAGGTCAGTAATGATATCAGTCCTAAGGGATAAGTAATTCTTCAGTCACCCACAAAGCTGTCTCATGCCAGTCAGGCCTCTTCCTGAGCATGACTGGATGTGTTCTGGTGAGAGCCAAGCCATACCATCTGTACCTGTTCCACCATCACTGAGGTGGGGAGGGAGGGGTAGAGGAGTGGAGAGAAGGAATGTGGCAGTAGGGTGGTTGAGCCTCAAACATGGCCCTTTTGTGTAAGTTAGCCAGAGCTGAGTGGCCTATTGAATGGAAGGGAAAGTGGAATATGTCAGAAACCTATTAGGGTTTGACCTTGATTTGGTAATGATAGTTGAAATGGAGCGGGGAGAAGTTCAGAAAATTAGGAAATGAGAAGGTGGGGAATAGGATTGATGCTGACAGTGAATCACAGGCAAGGAATGGGCCAGAAACTGGATGAGGAGGAGATTTAAGAGAGTGGCTTTCACCAGTTAGAGAAAAGTATCACATGATCTCACTCATATGTGGAATCTAATGAACCAAATAAACTGATGATCAAAAATAGACCCAGAGCCCTAGCCAGTTTTGTTCAGTGGGTAGAACATCAGCCTGCGGACTGAAGGGTCCTGGGTTTGATTCCGGTCAAGGGCATATGACCAGGCTGTGTAGGGGGCATGCAGGAGGCAGCTGATCAATGATTCTTTCTCATCATTGATGTTTCTCTCTTTCTCTCCCTCTCCCTTCCTCTCTGAAATCAATAAAAAAATAAAAAATAAAAAAAGAGACCCAGAGACATAGAAGTATGAACAGACTGTTGAACCTCAGAGGGAAGGCTGGGGAGGGTGAGTGGGAAGAGATCAACCAATGAACGTGTATGCATATATGCATAACCCATGGATACAGACAATGGCATGGTGAGGGCCTGGGGAAGGTGGACGGGAGCGGGCTGGAAGAGATTAATGGGGGGAAAAGGAGGATGTATGTAATACTTTCAATAATAAAGATTTAAAAGAGAAAAAAGAGATTTAATAGAGAGAGAGAGAGATGCTTTAAGACTTGATAAAGGTTTTCTGTGCTTCTGGGTCTGCGGCCTCCATGATGTCTAAGATTATCCAGCTCTGTTTGGTTGACCTGGAGTAGACAGGGTGGAGGGCAGTGCTGTGTACAGTGCAGCAGAGAAGAGGTCTTTGATTTAAGAGGTTGAGAAAACAAAAGGATGTGGGAAGAGAGGACATCAAGGCATGAGAGAGAAGAAAGGGTATGAGAAAGTTGAACAATAGGGAACTCCTAACATGATCTTCAATATAAACAATACTCACAGCTTTACCAGGGAATAAAACTATTATGGGCTACAGTATTTTATTATGCCATAATTGGTGACAACTTTCTTATTGAGGCCAAGAGGTGTTTGAGGGTGCTGGCTTGAGTGTGGGTACATGGCCCATCTCCTGGAGAGGGCCTTGGATGCACAGCAAAGAAAACAGGGCCTGAATGTTCCCACTGGAGGGAACACAGAGACTGGAGTCTGGTTTCTCTAGGCCAGGTCAGATCAGAGTGACTTCCTGAATGGCCCCTCTCAACAGTGGGCCTATGCGTCCTTCAGCCTTATCCTAGTCTGAATCCCTTCCCAAAGGAAACCACTGCTAACAGCTTGGTCGTATCCTTTCTATATACCCATATTCCTATATACTTAGGTGGTGTGTGTGTGTGTGTGTGTGTGTGTGTGTGTGTGTGTTCTGTTGCTATTGTTGGTCTTTTAGATTTCTGTCTTGAAAAATAATTTTCATAGCAATTTAAAGCCCAAGAAAGAGACACTCATTGGGGAGCCATTGCAATAGTGTAGATAGATGGGGAAGGGGAAGGAGAAGACAGGAGAGATTTAGGAGGTGGAATGTAAAGGATGTGGGGACCGCTTTTACATGGCATTGGAGGATAGAGAGTGGGTAGGACTTGAATGACAGAGAGGATGACAGTGTACTCAACTGGGAGGGAGTTAGACCAGAATATTCCAAGCTACATCTCCTAGAGGCATGAACTGAGTAGTACCTTTGGACATAATAAAAAAGGGATGTATACTCGGGCCTCCCAGAAACCCCGACTTTATTTTTAGTTCTCACCCAACAAATTTAGATTATTGTATTAATATCTCATCAGTTCATCACTGTCAGGAAAAACTGCTCTCCTTTAGTATGAATTATACTACACCTAATCCTTTTCCAGAGCTGCTGAGCTGACCTTCATCCTGACTAGAATGGGATTGGAGCAGAGAGGCGGGGTGGAGAGGAGCAGGCAGAGGGCTGAGGCATGAAGGGACTCACAGCACCTCCAGCGCAGGACTGGGAGTAGACATTAGGCGCTTATCTTTGAGGCCAGGCTGAGACAGCTCGGGAGAGGTTCGAGGAGCTGGATGTTGGTCCAAAGACATTACCTGCGAATTCTGATTTTGTCCATGATCTCTGATTTCAAACGCTTTTTCCTATCAAACATCTCATCTCCCAAAGTGACGGAAATCTGCTCCCTATTCCGAAAGAGGCGATAGCCAGGGCACACGTTGATCACTTCCTGGGCAACAGGGTGGAAGGTAAGAGAATATTGCAGAGAGCTGAGATTCCTCCAAATCTACTAGTGCCCCTCTCACATCTACAAACAGAGACTTGAGATGGGCTGTGCCCTCCCCAGTTACCACTCACCCTCGTATCTCCATATTTCTCTCCTGAGATCCAATCATAAGACTCAACTAGATCCTGGATGTCTCCCTATGCCTTTCAAGCTCAACATTTCCAAAATCCAGCCATTGTCACCCACTCCACATTCTACACCCAAACCCTGTTCCTCCTCTATGTTCTCCATCATGGCCAGAAGCCAGGAGGAGGCAGCTGAACATTTGGAATTAGACAGGGCTGAGTTTAAATCCTGGCTCTGCCACCAACCATAGTTATTCAACATCACTATGCCCAGTTTCCTCATTAGAAAATAAGGATAATAACTCTTCCACAAAGCGATTTTGTGAAGCTAAAACAAAATAACATGAGAAAATGCCTAGCACAGTTGTAAAAAAATTTTTTTTCAGTCAGTTCCTTCTCTGTCCCCTGTCAGATGCAGGGCTACCAGCCGCCATAGACCCGGATGCGACTGTACCTTCTAGAGTTGTGCAGGACACCCCTGCAGGCCACAGGTCCTGCCATTGTTATCTCCTAAAAGTGTCTCATCCTCATCCTCTCCTCTCCCAGCCTTGCCCTGATGGAGCCGGAGGCCACCACCATCTGTCTCCTGGGCTCTGGAGCTATCTCCCCAGCGGGCGTCTCCGCCTTCAGTCCGGCTCCCCTAAGTTCATCATCCTCTCCACCTGGAGGGCTATGACATTTCGTTTTTTTTTTCCTGCCCATTAAGGGATCCCATGATCCTCTTTGAAGGGGGTTAGGGGAGAAAGGAAAATAGATAAAAGCAGAAAGTAGTAAAAGTACCTATTATATCCCACCAGAGGGTGTGTTTTTTCCTCCTAAAATGTAAATCTTACCTGGTCACATGCCTGTCAGACCCATAAAGGTTCCAAGACATCAAAAGGTTTGGGCCTAAACTTCTAGGTAGGTGTCAAGATCCTTCAGGGTTTGCTCCCCATCTCTCTCTCCAGTGTGCTCCTGCCCTGCCACCTCTCAGATGCCCTGGCGGCCCCTTGCCCAGCATTTGTGGATTCCCAAGTACAGCAGAGGGTTTCCTACCCCTGCACATGAGTTGTCTCCTGTCCTGGACTGACTGCCACCACCTGGTTTTCCTGGCACACTCTCCTCACCCTTCACAAGGCAGTAAAGAGGTCATTAAACACGCTCTCTGGGGTCTGGCAGAGCCAAGTTCAAGTCCTGGTCCTACACTATATGCAGTAATTCCAGCACCTCCTCATAGGATTGTTGCAAAAATTCAATGAAGTCAGTATGTGTAAAAGGCCCATGCCTGCAGACAGTAGGTACTGTATACCCCACAACCCTCTTTTCATTTTTACTCACAGAAGGTAAATTATTGCTCTCCTCTTGTTTTCTTAAGTGGGTTTTCACTCTGCAAGAGAAATGCATGCTCAGAAGCAACCAGAGAGCAAAGAGAAGCTCCAAGATCAGTTGTGCCCCGACCCTACCACTCATCAGCAAAATGTGACATTCCTGGGATAATCTGTGTGGCCCATCAGTTCTCAAAATATTATACTTTAGAAAATAGAGAATATTTAGTGGTCCAGAGATCATTGATACATAGGTTGTAATAAAATGGCAGGTAGTGAAAAAGTGGGAAATCAACTAGTCACTAGTCTAATAGTAGAACCATTCCTAAAATAAGGGCCAAGAAGCTTGTAGTGAAATTCAAAGGGATGATGCATAATCATAAATGCACACATTTTTTAGTGACATATATGTTGTCTGTACAACCACTTTTCTTCTCATTTGCACCAGAATTCCGTGTTCTGGGACCCTGAAATTGCAAGTTAATTCAGGATAAGCGAAGTGTTACTATTTTGAGATCTGGAACAGATTTCCTGATCATAATAAATTTTTGTTTCAGGTACAGAAACCTGAGTATAATATCAGGTACCAAAATATCAAAAAAGTATTTATAAGGAAGTTCACCTAGAAGGTTGAAATATTAGAATATGAGTAACTACCTTCTGATGTGCTGACAAGAATAGGTAGGCCTCTCCCCTTGGCCTCTACAATACCACACATGTACACAACCACTGGCCAACTGCTGTGAAGAGAGACAGCTGAAACCTGCTTTGGAAGTTCCAGTTCCCCACAATCAAAACAACCACACTATCATTAGGGGCTGTGAAGTCGGTTACTAGGATGGGACTGGTCCCGAGTCCGTGGCTGACTCTGGATGTGGGGAGTGGGGCTGGAAGGACTTTTCCTGGTGGAAGCAGTTCCATCTTGGTTAATAACCATCAGTCTGGTTTAGATCCCACATCTCCCACCCCCCAGAGGGGGCCTCCAGAGAAGCACTGAGAAAACCATTCCAAGGCTTTGGCTACCTTAGAGGTGACCACCAACCTTTGATTTTAATTTTCACTGACAGAAAAAAAAAAAGTCTACGTGTTAAGAAATGGGCATGAGTGCATAATATACACTGATATTTCAATGAGGTCCACATGTAATTTAAGATTTAAAATCATTTAAAATGCAACTTAACTCAACCATATGTTCCTAGTTCAACTGTCCACAATGGATAATTTGGCTTGTTTTCTCTGAATTTAGGAAAACCTTGTTGGAAAACCACTGGATGGCCAGTCTCTTTAAAAAGCTGACCCTGGATTTGAGTTTATATCATTTTTTGCTCTTAGTAAATCTCACTGAACAAACTGAGACCTTCCACAGCATTGCTTTAACTTTGGAACTTCTATGTGGCTACGTAGATACTCATTTTGTCAGAAAATGACGCTTCTCTCATTGAAAAGTAAAAGGTAAGGTTGATCCAGAACGACTAATCTTTACTCTTTTTGTCCTTGTCAACCTGTTACTCAGATTACTCTGATTACAATGACCAAATTGTGACACTTTGTTGACATCGCTGAAAGCACTTCACATTTTCTCATTTAATGAATTCAATGAGTAGTTCATATATGCAAACCACAAGCGCTCGGTACCAAGAGAAATGGAATGAGTTGTGATAGTTTTATTTAAGAGATGAAAAAAGGCACATAAATACTGCAACTAGAAGAAGAAAAAGAATTAAGTGCCGTAGAGAAGTACAGATAAAGAGATTTTCTAATTGTGTCTCTCAGGGATTGAGAGCGTTCTGCCACTGCCATTTTTCAAGGCCTCTGATGTACACAAAATCAAAAGCAAAACAAAAACCCCAAGAATTGCTAAAATAGGGTTAAAAATATTGAGTTATAGTTCATGTTTAAGAATTGAAAACTTGTAACACAAAAAGCACATTATATGTTTGCAAGAAAATGATAGGATTCACAAAAGGGACGGATTCAGAGAGTCAAGGTGGCATGTTTGAGGACGGAGGCCTAAGTTAAAAGCTGACTGCTGAGCAGCTTCGTCCCCATTTGGAGGTCATGTCAACGTCTGCCTGGGCCTCTTCCCCAGAGTGAGGCAGCAGCAGCGGCCCTCCTGTGTGGCTGCTCCATTCCCCTTCCCAAGTGCTGGCTGGAGCCAGAGCAGAGGACACATTCCCCAGTGTGTGTTCTTTGAATTGGTTTTAGAAGACGTCATGTTTCAGGGAATAAGTTGCCTTGAATGGTCTTACTGGAAAGTTATAAATACAATCAGCAGGTCTTTGATAGAGAATTTAAAAATACCCACAAATAATTGGTGTTTATTGCATGTAACATTATAATATTTAAAATTGTTTTTCTTGAGATATTTAAAAAAAATACCCACAAAGTGTTCCTCACTATATTGCAAAGCCAGAGGAGGACAATGTTGGCCGGGGCTAATGCTGGTGGTCAGAGTGGAGCTGTGGGTCTTAGTGAGGTCTCTCCCAACAAGAAGCACTGGGTAGCTGAGGCCTTGAGCTTGTCTGTTGAAATGGAAGTTAGATAAGATCCACAGGTAGGATCATGCCTGCAGGGTGCCAGCACACAGAAGGCAGGCAACCAGGAAACGTTTCATACACAGGCATTCGGTGGAATCCTGATTATGAATGGATCCAATTCCGTTCAGGCTTTGTTACCATCACTCCACTGAGACAATTCCCTTCGTTGTCACCCAGATGCAGGCTACTAAGTCCAACAGTACTGCTCGGCCCTCATCTTAATTGACTAGTAGCAGTTTTTAACACAGGTAATCAGACCCTCCTTCTTGGAACATTTTTGTTTTGCTTCCAGAACACCAGGTAGATGATTCTTCATCTGCCTCACTGGCCACTCCTTCTTGGTGTCCTTTCGATCCTGTCATCTCTTCCACCTCTCAACAGGAGTACTCTGGGCTCAGTTCTCCCACCTCTTCCTATCATTATCTCCACTCCTTGCCTTGGAGATGTCACCTGGGTGCAGGGCTCTAAGTACCATATGCTAATGACTCTCAAATGTGTATCCACAGCTCAGACCTCTCAGACCTGCTTACCCAGCTGCTTACTTGACATTGCACTTGGAAATTTAGAGAGATCTCAAACTGCCTAAGCGCAATCCCCTACATGTGTGCACCTCACACAATCTCCCCAGTCACAGAAAATGGCAACTCCATCCTTCCCAGGGCTCAGCCAGACATCCTGAAGTCAGCTTTGATTTTTTTCTCATACTTTATACCCATCCCATTAGCAGATCCTATTGGTTTCTACCTTTAGAATATATCTAGAATGCGGCCACTTCTTACCACCTCTACTGTTTCCACCAGGTTCAATCACCATCATCCCTTGGCTGGGTCCCTGCAATTGCACATTATCTCCCTTGGCTTCTCCCAAGGCTTCTTCTCTTGGCCATTGAAGTAAGTCTTCATTCTCAGTGCAGTAGTCAGATTAGTCTTTTCAATGCAAGTTGGATCATGTCACTCTTCTCAGAATCCTCTGTGGCTTCCCAGCTGTTATGGGCTAAGTTGTGTCTACCTCTCCCCACTCCAAATTCATATGTTGAAACCCCAACCCCTGTTATCTCAGAATATGGCTGTATTTGGAGATAAGGCTTTTAGGTAAAATAAGGCCATTAAGGTGGACCCTAATCCAATCTTTCTGGTGCTCTCATAAGAGAGATGAGGATGCATAGAGAGACCCTAGGGAGGCACACGTGCAAAGGAAATGTCATGTGAAGAGGCAGCAAGCAGGCAGCCAACGGCAAGCCCAGGAGAGAGTCCTAAGAGGAAACCAGCCTGCCAGCACCTAGCTCTTGCTCTTCCAGTCTCCAGGACTGTGAGAAAATATGTGTCTGTTGCTTAAGCCACCCCATCTTTTGTTGTTGTTGTTGTCATGGCAGCTCTAGCAGCTGATACACCATCCCTTTCAGAGTAAAAGCCAAAGTGCTTACAGTGGCCAGCAAACTTCACTGTGTAAATTTCCTTTTGCTGCCGTAACAAATTACTCTAAGTTAAGTGGCTTTAAACAATACCAATTTATTATCTTACAGTTTTAGGGTCAAGTCTGCAAGGGGTCTCACTGGGTGGAAACCAAGGTGCTGGCAGGTTGGTATTCCTCCTGGAGGCTCTAAAAGAAAACCCGTTCCATTGCCTATTTTTCTCCACCTTCAAAGCCAATAATTGCATCACTCCAACCTCTGCTTTTATCGTCACATCTCCTTCTCTGACACTCTGACTTCCTCTTTCACATATAAGGACCTTTATTGTTACCTGCGGCCCGGCTAGATAATCCGGGATAAACTGTCACGGTCAGCTGATTAGCAAACATAACTTCATCTGTAATCTCAATTGCCCCCTGGCAAGTAACAGAACATGGTCACAGTTTCCAGGGATTAGTGTACAGACATCTTTGGGGAACCATTATTACGTCAACCACATTCATCACCTGTTACTTCTCTGAGCTCATCTCCCACCACTCTACCTTCACGTCCTCCATTCCCACCACACTGGTCTCTTTGCTTTCCTGGAAAAGGCGAGGTGTGCCAAGTGAGTTCCTGCTCACAGCCCTTGTACTTGCTGCTCCCTCTGACAGGAGTACTTGGCCCAGATGTCAGTGTGGCTCCCACTGCCCCCTTTACAAAGGGACTTGCCCTGATCTCCATACATGAAATCATGACTGTCAACTCCAAGAGAGCAGAGGCTCTGTTGTGTTCACTGCTGTTTCTCGCACCTGGAAAAGTGCTTAGCAAATAATAGGTACTCAATAAACATATTCCAAATAAATAAACAGAATACAAAGACTCATGCAAAGACAAAATTAAGTTATATTTATAAGCTTATAAAATATTGGTAAATTTTTAAATTTATAAGTAAAAACAGAGTTGTAATTTGTAAACAATCTTAGACACAGGAAAGAAACCCGTAAAAGGGTGAAACCACCAATGGGAGGCTCTTTGCCTTTAACAGGCATCAAGAACTGTGCCCTTGCCCTAACTGGTTTGGCTCAGTGGATAGAGCGTCAGCCTGCGGACTGAAAGGTCCCAGGTTCGATTCCGACTAAAGGCATGTACCTGGGTTGCGGGCACATCCCCAGTGGGAGGTGTGCGGGAGGCAGCTGATCGATGTTTCTCTCTCATCGATGTTTCTAACTCTCTACCCCTCTCCCTTCCTCTCTGTAAAAAATCAATAAAATATATATTAAAAAAAAAGAAGAACTGTGCCCTTTCAGGGCAGGAGACAGTTGTCAGGGCACCTTAGCTGAGAGCTCATTTGCGGTGATTCTACAAGCTGTGGGTGCAGAGGGCCATAGAATCTATCTGAAGGATCTGAGGTTTGGGGGACATCACAGTGGATTCTCTGACATTCCTGGCAGCAATGAGTTCAAGTCGCAGGCAAGGGTGTGAAGGCCAAGGAAGGAGATTGTTTTATTCACGTACCTCAAACCATTCCCGCCCCGTGCACATGCAGATACTTACTTTGGGGAGACAACAGGTTTTGTTGGTGGTTGGACATAATTTTGTTTTTTTGAAGCTGGAGGAAGAAGAGTTGGCCTGAAAGGAAAAAATAGACAGCAAAAAGGGAACACTGAAAATTCCGAACTCTGTTTTAGCACTCCCAGATGAGGTAGATCTCCACAGTGACCCCGAATTAGAATACATGGGCTGACAACAGATGATCTTTCGCAGCCTCGGGCTGAAGACCCTGGCACTTGCTCACTGTCCTAGGGGGTCCCCGGTTGGCAGCACAGTTTGCCCCCAGTTCCCAAAGCTCTTGGTCCCATATGGAGGGGCAGCTGCCATGGGGCCCTTTGGTTGGAAGCCCTCCTCTCTCTGTTCAATCATCTCTGAGATTCCTCACGTACAGTGACACTAAGCCTAGCAGGACTGGCATGAGCAACGTGCAGCTAACAGGCCGACAGGGAAAGCTGTGTAGAGCTAGGCTTTCTGGCCCCCTTGGGATCTTGGCTACCAAATTGTTTTGGGAATCCTGTGAGAGAAAAAAGGCTGCAAATGGGCCCCAAGCCCCCAGGCCCTCGTCCATCCCAGGTAATGCTTACTTGGGTTTCCCTGTGGAGGTCTTTTTTGGTGGCTGAGGGGTCTTGATTAGCTTCCGTGGTTCCAAGTTCCAGGGGTCCCAGCAGGTGCAGTAGATGAGAGGGTTGGGGTACATGGTAGGAGGTCTGGGGCAGTCTTGGCTGCCAGGTCAGGAGGCCCTTGCTGAAATGGGGGGGAGAACAGCAGAGTCATACCATCCAGTCAAAGCAACAATGCATAGAGACAAGCTGGGAAGCACCCAGGGAAGGTCCAAAGCACTGATGGTAGAATCTGGAGGCTGCTGATCTGGTTCAGGGTCTTGACTATAGAATCACACCTCTTTCCTTGCCATCTCAGGCTTGACTTGAAAGCAATTTAAAATTTGCTCTGAGTGCTTACTGTGAGCCAGGTACACAGTAAGTGATCAATTATTCTTTTCTTTTTAAATATATTTGTATTGATTCCAGAGAGGAAGCGAGAGGGAAAGAGAGATAGAAACATCCATGATGAGAGGGAATCAATGATCGGCTGCCTCTTGCGTGCCCCACACAGAGGATAGAGCCCACAACCCGGGCATGTGTCCTGACCGGGAACGAGCCAGGACCTCCAGGTTCATAGGTCGGCGCTCAACCACTGAGCCACTCTGGCTGGGCTTTTACCTGTTTACAGATGAGGATACTGAGGCTCAGAGAGCTCATGGAGGTAGCAAGTTACAGAGTAAACAGTCTACCTGACTCCTAAGCCCTTGCGCTTTCATCAAATCACATTAACTCTCACTGAAGTAAAGAGAAATCCCTATGGCAGGTCCTGCACAGGGACTTTCCACACAGAACTTGGGTGTGGAAAATGAGCTCTGTTATTCAAATTAAACTGGATCTCCCAGTTTCTCATTCCTGGTCACCTGCCTGAGTCAGTCAAAACTCTGCCTTTTTGGCCCTATAAAAAAAAAGAAATCACACACAAAAATCCCCATTTTGAAAGCTTGCGTGAAAAACAACTACCAGATAAACATGATCACACATGATTACACTTATTATCCCTTCCCCACCGCTTCCCACCCCCCTCCACAGAATCCCAGTAAAATGAGAGTGCAGGATTAAAATAGGTTCAATTTCATAAAAACAAAAGAGAATGGGAGAGGAGACAGTACCGCACAGGTGATGTCAGTATACACTTGGCACAGTAACTTCCTCACTGAGCACACCATAGGAAGGTACAGCGTATGTCTGCAAAGGGGGTATGAACCAGAAGGAATCAAATCCCAAGTCTCAGAACTTGGAACCGGGAGATTATCTGATGGAACATATGGGCATTTCACAGGTCTGTGAGACCCTTGGGAAGTCAAATAATGCTCCTTCCCCCCTGAAACACAAAAATCTCTGGAACCTGTAAATATGCTACCTTTTTGTGCCAAAGGAGCTTTATAGCCATGATTAAGGGTTTTGAGACGGGGAGATTATCTGGATTATTAGTGTGAGCCCAAGGTAATCACAAGCATCCTTAGAAAAGGAAGTTGGGGGATGAGGGTCAGAGTCAAAAAATGGTCAGGTAGGAGTGACCAAGAATGGGCCATGAGCCAAGGAAAATGGGCAGCCTTTAGAAGCTGGAGAAGGCAAGGAAATGATTCTCCTATAGAGCCTACCGAAGGAAGGAGGTCTTGCCAATACCTTGATTTTAACCCATTTTCAGATTTCTGGTCTCAGGATGGTAAGGTAATAAGTTGATGTTGTTTCTTTATATAGATTTTTTTAAAATATATTTTATTGATTTTTTACAGAGAGGAAGGGAGAGAGAGTCAGAAACATCGATGAGAGAGAAGCATCGATCAGCTGCCTCCTGCACACTCCCTACTGGGGATGTGCCCACAACCAAGGTACATGCCCTTGACAGGAATCAAACCTGGGACCCTTCAGTCCGCAGGCCGATGCTCTATCCACTGAGCCAAACCGGTCAGGGCTTGATGTTGTTTTAAGCCACTGAATTTGTGGTAATTTGTCACAGAGCATTTGTAATAATAATTAAATACAAACAAACAGAAAATTTAGAAAAAACTGGGGGGAAGACAATGAAGGGAGGATGAACAAGTGTTAAATCCTCATCCACCATAGCAGGAAGTCAATGGAGAATGTCTAAAAATTAACAAATGAGGTAGAGATAAATTATTTAGAAGTATGAAGCTAAGTTCCAAAGTAGTAGCTAAAAATGTTGAAAATAATTGCCCCTAGAGAGCACACCGAGGAGCAGAACCGAGAAGAAGGGCGGGGCAGAAACTGTAACTTTTCATTAATGAATTTGTAACACAATTTGATTTTCAAATGCCAGTGGGTTATTTGAAAAAAAAAAAAATTTAAGTCTACCACCAAACAACATGTTATGGGAGCCCAGAGACCAATAGCAGCATTACAACGACAGAAGATTTAACTCCAATTTCTAAGTCAGTGACTGGTTTCCAATAGTACACTGGAATAAGTTTAAGAATCAGCTGAAAAATGAAACACACATTTTTTTTCCCTCTAACATGACTGCTGCTTGAGAAACCCAGATAGGTAGTCTAATGACTTTTAGAACTAAAGGGGACCTTAACATTAAACCCATTTTACAGATGATGAAACTGAGACTCAAAGGCGTGCAGCGCCCATGGGACCCCTTCACGGGCTCGCTTAGTAGCACAAATAGGTACAGTTAGCTCCTGCTGAGAGTACCATGCAGATGCTGGGGGGGGGGGGGGCCCAACACCTGCACCTCGCCCTCAGGAAGCGTGCAGGTCCCGGGGGTTCTCAGAAAGGGAACTGAGGGAGCGCTGGAGCAGGGCAGGCAGGGTGCGGGAGGGGCAGGGTGTGCAGGCGGGGCAGGCGCGGGAGGGGCTGAGGCCAGAAAGGAGGCCGGGAGGCTGGGGAAACAGTCAAGACCTACGGCCAGGCAACAAGGCCGCAGATCTGTCTGTCTGTGCTCCCCTGTGTCTGGGGCCCGACGGGGAGTGCTCAGCGGTCGGGATGGCAGCGGTCGGGATGGGGCACCCCAGGCGAGGAGACCGTGCCACCGGGGCCAGAACCGCGGGGGGAATCGGAAAGGCGGCGGCAGCAGCGAGGCAGCAGCCCTGCTTCTGCTTAGGCTCGGCGTCCGCTTCCTGTGCGCACAGGGGCCGGTCCCGGGCCGAGGCGAGAGGCGAAGGCCGTCAGCTCCCCGAACTGCCGCCTTCCCGCCGCCATTCCTCGCCTGCGCCCCTGGCCTGGGCCCTTTTCGGCGCCGCCCTGGGTCCGGGCGAGGCAGCTTGTCCGCAGTGAGAATCTGGTAAGTATTTGGTGCTGAACTAAGAAACTGGGAGAGTGTAACCTCAGCAACCGGCTCACCGAGGAGAAGCCGATCGTCAGATGAACTGCAAAAACGTAACGGCCATGACAACAGTACAGACAATATTAAACATTAGGACTTAAAAAGGCCGGCCGACCAGCCGCGCCGCTTACGGAGCCTGAC